ACCTACCTAGAGGAGTCTAGAACGTTCTGCTTAGAAATACAGACAGAGGAGAGGAAGCATAAATACCTCTAGCTCTCCCCCCTCTGTTCGCTCTGTACCTAGCCTAGGAATCTCTACCTAGTATCTAATATAATAACTTGTCTATTATATTACATAACCCTACCTTACCTCTATTAGGCTATACGCTTCCTATTTAGACAAAGCTAGTCTAGATTTGTCTAGGTCCTTCTATACTAGGAAGAAAGTAGTCTAGTCCTTCCCCTACTTTCTTTACAAGTTAGAGTGGCTATTAGCTAAAGGACCCTTAGGTCTTGCAGCAGAGTATAAGGTGCTCTAGCGTCTTATTGCGCCTATATAAGTAGGTAAGTATTATGTTATTATGTTTATACTTTTAGTAGTACTAGGCAAAGTTGCTGTGCATAGATTTAATTAAGAGTAGTCTAGCTAGGGTAGCTCTTAGTAGGTCTAGTTTAGGTAGTCTACTGCGTAGTGTATAGTTAAGATCCTAGCTCTTGTACTATTTTAAGAGCTTAGTCTTCTTGTTAGACTACTATATTTATTGCGTGTGCTGTAGTATCTTGCAGGCTATTGTCTTGATGCCTAAGAGTGTAGGCATAGCCGCTATTCTAGTTGGGGGTGATGGGTGCTAGGCTTCTAGGTTGGCAAGTCTGTCTGCTGCTTTGTTTCCTTTAATGCCTAGGTGCCTAGGGGCCCATTTGATTGAGACGTCGTGTGTCTCCATAGCACCGTGGCACTCCAGGAAGGCCTACTGTGAGGTAGGGGATGCGCCGCCCCTGAGGCACCATATGACTAGGGTGCTGTCTATGCATAGCCAGATTCGGCGCGTGCGGAGCGCTAGTTGTCTAATAGTGTGCTGGAGGCCTTTCCATGCTCTAGTTGCCTTAGCGTTAAAGACGTGTGAGGTAGAGTAGAGTAAACTACGTCTAGTCTATAGTTGCTTTCTATTCTAATACATAGCAAAGCTATAGGTAACCTACTTTTCTTCTTTCTTTGTGTACTGTTTAGAGCTATCTAAGAAGATAGTAATATCTAAAGGTAGAAGGTTAGCCTACTATTCTTAGAAAGCCTTTACTATAGACTTTTTGTCTAAGCCTATAGTAGGGTCTGTGCAACAGCTAGATAAGTAGTAAGGGGCTAATAGTGTTGTCCTAGGTATCTTAGGTAGAAGAGATCCTAGATACTAGACCTTGGTCTGCATTTGCTGCAGCTTTCTAGCTAACCTGCTTATGCTTATCCTTATAGCTGCTGTGCGGCTAGCAAGTAGATGTTCTGCATCTACTGTGCGTAGATGTGTTGCAAAGCAGAGTTTAGCTTCTTCCAGCGCAGTGGCAGCAGAGGGTAGTCCAGCGTCTTAGAAGAGAGTAGCGATAGGGGTTGTTCGCCACACTAGGAGGATCCCTCTTGCTGCTATAGCTAGTGTTTTGTCCATAACCGCTATGTGCCACCCAACATATAGGCTGGCGGAATGGGTATACTCCAACGTCCTTCGTGGGTACCCCCCAAAACTTTGTCAATAATACATGGATTCTAGCAAAATAGGGCTTAAAAGAAAGAGAAAAACTACCTCTACATTTCTGTAGTAGAGGGTTTTGTTATAACTATTAAACTGCACAAGCTAGAGGCTAGAAAAGGTTAAAAAAGGGGGGGTACCTAGTGAGCATACCTATTAATGGGTATACTTTGCTAGGTAGTGTTAATAACTTAGCTAATACTAGGCAGAATAAGCTAATTCTTTTTTTATTAGAAGGCGCAATACTAGGCGCTTCTATTAAATAATAGATTATGTAAGCGTATCTCTGCTGGTTAAGAAGCTATAAGCTAAAACGTAAAAAAGCATACCCTACCCATCCGCCAGCCTACCAACATAGGTGCTGACTTCTGCTGGTCCTCCAGGTTTGAGTGTACGTGGAGGTTTAGTACGGCCTCTGTACCAGCACTCAGTCCCATACCCGCGTTAGGTGGTGAAATGCCTGTGGCTTCAAACGAGCTTAGCACAAGCTTAGAGGTAAACGTTTGGCGCCAGGCTTCACGGAAAAGCTTATAGAAGTGACGCTTCTTAATGCCTGTTAGGGCCTAGGTTTAGTGTAGTTGTTTAGTAACTTCTTTAGAGTAGTTGTTGCCAAAAGGTGAGAAGCAGCCAACATCTAATGGCTGCAGCGCCTGCGTGCTGTGCGGTGGAAAGACAAGCAGGAGAATCTTGTGGCAACTACAATAGTCAATAAAGGCTATTGTAATGTGAGAGCTGTGGCCATCAAGTATAAGTAGGCGCCAGAACCTGCAAGCTTTACTTGCAGTCTCCTGCTTAAACACCTGTTCAAGCCAGGCAAGGCTAACCTTGTTGTTAGACTAGCTAGAGGGCGTTACAGTAGCAAATACTGAGTCTTTTCCTACGTCCAGGTCCTCTAACTAGGACTGCTGTAGGCTGTTGGGCTTGCCTGTGAAGATAATGCCTAGCAACAGTGTTGAAACATCAGCGCAGATTGCTGCAAGTATTATTACCCACTCTCTATTGCCATCCTAAAGGCTCTAGCGCTTGCCTTTACTATCCCAAGTTGCCTACTAAACACCTTCTTGCTCCTATTTACTAATCTAATTGTAAGGCCCTTCTTATCTATGTTATATGTGTGCTGCAGTTTAATAGAGTATTTGTTAATCTTAGACTACAGAAAATTAAAATAGGGTGAGTACTTTTTGCTATTATTAGCGTTATAACATGAGGCATCTATAGCAGAGGTCTATTTGTATGTAAGCGTCTCGCAGTAACAGTGCAGGAACTAAGTAACCTAGGCATCTCTAATATAGCAATAAGCTATTTTAGAGGTGAAATTTTGTACTATTTGCCTTGTAGGTGGTAGCCCTTAATTAGAAAGGCCTTCTATGTATTTGCAGAGCTTGTATTCTTGTTATGGGCTGATCTTTCGCTGTGAGGAGTATCCTTCTTCACGCAACGTGCACACAGGTTGGTGCCGCCACGAAAGGGTGGATCGCGACACTGTGCTTTGATCAGCAATTTTTAAGTAGAAGAGTTCACTAGCTGCATCTGCTGCGTCACAGGCTCCAAGCGCAGCCTCTAAATCCATGCCGTTGTTGAGTTATAGTGTGGAGGAAATTCGTAGATTATGGTGTTGGTGTGCACAAGATGAAACTTTGCACGAGGTGCACGGACACTGTAGTCCTAGCAACACATGTAGACAATATACTAGTATTTGCAAAAGATGTAAGCCTTGTACAGGGTCTCTATAAAGACCTAACTCCTACTTCTAAATTAGAAGTTACTAATCTAGGTGTCAGATGCTCGTACTGTGAGCCAGAGTATGTGCTTAACGAGATCTTAGGTGGTATGATGATATATTGATGATCGTGGCGATGGTGTTTCTGTCAGCGTCGTGCTGGTTGCTACAGGATTGAAGTAGGGGGGGAATTAGCGCTGTTCGCGGCCGCCGGTGTGCGGGCCAATCAGGAGTTGCCAGGTCTCGCTTAATCGACCTGGCAACTGCTGATTGGCTGCACGACAGGTCCCTACTCAATTGCGCAGATCTAACCTCTTGCTACTTGCTCTTATCTAACACACCCCCTTTAGCTTAGAAACTCTTTAAGCTAACTATTTATGCGCGTGCAAGGTCCTTAATTTATTCTTAAATCCTGTCTAGAGGCACGCTGTTTAGCACTTCTATTAACTCCCTGTTTACTAGACTAAGTTGCTAGAGGAAACCTTCCTATTTATTTACTAGGAGTACCTTTATAAGTCTATCTACTATTATGCTTAACGTACTCTATCACCGAGCTGGTCATATCACCGAACCAGTCACTTAAAATCCCACCAAAAAACACAGAAACTATACCCCTGCATCTTAATAACTACTTAATAGAATCTTCTACAAACTTTAGAATAGAGCTGCATCTATACTAATAAAACTATTTAAAAGTCTTAGACTAATACCTAGTATAGATGTTAAGATAGCCTGCAGCTACCCCTGTATTTTAGTATCTTCTAAACAACATCTGCAATATAGGGCTAAGCACTCTAAGACTTTTAAACAGTCTTATTAGTATAGATGTAGCTCTATTCTAAAGTTTTTAGAAGATTCTATTAAGTAGTTATTAAGATGCAGGGGTATGGTTTCTGTTTTTTTTGGTGGGATTTTAAGTGACTGGTTTGGTGATATGACCGGCTCGGTGATAGAGTACGTTATAGACTAGACATGTTCTATAATAATCTTTCTAGTAGCCACCTCCTGTTAGAGCTAGTACTTGTAGATATCTACATGCTAAAGTTTAGTATGTAGTTATAACACTTCCTTAGTAACTAGTTAAATTATTTATTTATTATTATATTATATTATAATAGTGTGTGCGCCTATATTAATGTGTAGTTTGCATAAGAGCCTTAAGATAAAGAGTGCTTCTTTTACAACCTGTGTAAGAGTAAGAAGCTTAGCCTTAGTTATTAATATTATTACTATATCCTGCTTATTTGCTTTCTATATAATAAGGCTGCTAAAGAGTTTAATTGTGTAGCCTTAGGAGCTCTTTCTGTCTATAGTGTTGTCAGCAAAGGACACGTTACTTGCTACCTGGAGGCTAATGCCTCCTCTAAGCTGCAGTGATCGCTGTTTAGTGTTGAGTAGATATAGAAGGACCCGGTCCGCAGCATCTTGGTGGCTGATGCCTGGATTGGTGAGGAACTGGGCAAGCCTTGATGTGGCGAACGCAATGTCAGGTCGCGTGGTGACCGCAGCAAACAGCAGTGATCCAATTTTGCGCTGATACTTGTTAATTTCTGCTGGCGCTGCTAGTCTGCTCCTTAGCTGTAGTTTAGTTATACCTATTAGAGTGTTATGTTGTATAGTTGTGTTCTTAGCAAGGCAACTAATTTTGTCTAAGTACGCTGCCTAAGATAGGTAGATTTTCTTGCTTGCTTAGTCTTATATAATCTCTATGCTAAGGAACTACTGTAGGTTGTGCCCTCCTATGTAGGTGTACTTACTCTATACGTGGCTAATTATCTATATTACCTCTTACTCTTTTAATTTATTATACATAAGGATAATATTATTAATATAAAAGAAGATAATAATACTACCCTTAGTTAGACAGCAGGGTTTGTAAGGCATAGTCTAGAAACCTAGTGCTTTTAGTGTTGCAGTAAAGTTCTTCTACTAGAGGAGGGGAGAGATGTGTAGGCTGTAAAGTGCCTTATTTACTTGCAGTATTATGCTAGGCTTCTAATAGCCTTGGGGCATCCTTATGTAGACCTCTCTGTCCATTGTAGCATGAACAAACGCGTTAGTAACGTCGTATTGTTTAAGCTCCATGTTATAGTAAGCTGCTATAGCTATTATTGTTTGAAAGGATTAGCTAGCAAGCGTGGCTGCGTAGGTGTCTTGTGATGTAATATTGCGTTGTTAATTGCCTCTAACTACTAGTTACGCCTTACACTTTAGTAGTTAATAATATCTATTAAGCTTATAGGTATATACCTATATGTAGTTAAGGATCTGTTGTCCTGTTAGTCTAATTTTCTAAAGTAGTACTTCTAACTATAATTTTATTTCTTAGTAGCTTATAAGGTGCTCTTGCTTAGCTTCTTAAAGGAGTTTACCTATAGGGTAATCCTTAAGCTTAGTTTAGAATATAGGTAGAGGTAGAAGTTAACTTTAATAGGGCTTTAAGCCTTTAGTAAGTATTCTTATTATCTTAGCCTTGTCTATAACTTCTCCTCTGTATATTCTAACACATCTAGCTTAGGTTCCTATAAGGAATAATGCTGCCTACAGGACAGTAGTTAAGGACGCTTGTTGCGTTAGAGTTGTTTAATTACTAGCTATAATGCCTGCAAGTAGTGCTGCAGGTGGCAGTGTTAATAGAGGGGTAGGATAGCTATCCTGTATCTTCTGTCCGTAATAGTAGCCTAGCAGGTCTACTTTGTCTTGTGGTGACAGCTCTGCTAGGGCTTTATCCTTATAAAAGGAATCTGTTTCTAGTTACTAGGTAGGTGTTAGTAGCTTAATAGATTGCATATATATTACTATTTCTTTAAGTATATTATGTATAAGGTTCTCTATAAGGTCCTTAATTCTCCTATTAAATACTATGTCTTTATTAAATATAATATCTTAAGTGCTTATTACCTTACTAAGTAACAGTATCTAGATTTAATAGATATTTAATAACTAGTAGCCTACTAGATAGCTAATCTAGGCCTTTAGGTCTAGTTATTAAAGATGTAATTTACCTCTATGTGTGTTATCTGTTATAGCAAACACTTTGTACCTATATACTCTTAGGTGCGCAAGGTTAGGTTTTTATAGTAATATTACTATTCTATTACTAAAGGCAACTTGTGTAAAGAATATTTTGTATAGTGTTTTCTAATAGTTTGCATAGTTTAGCGTTTAATTGTAGAGGTATACTGCTGCCCTTGTAATTTCTGGCCACAGTTCCTAGGAGAGGTTAGCATTAAGTTGCATTGCGCGAGCTTTCTCCTTGTTCACACCCCCTAAGTGTTCTGTGTTACTGTTCTGTGCTTATGTGTCTAGCGCTAAAGGCTCCACAATAACTCCTTGTGTTGCTAGCTATTTTAATATGTCTAGTTTAACTATAGCTATCTTGTTATCTGCCTTAATAGTCTTAACTAAGATATTATAGTAATTTTTTAAGAAAAGGATAAATATTAATAGTGCCTTAATAATTAACTTTGCTGTGCAATAATCTGTAAAGTAGAGGTCCTACTATAGGCCTAAGAACCTATTAGTTATAAGTATCTAGCTCTTTTCTTTAGTAACTCCTTATACTTTATAGGAGTAGAAGTTAATACTAAGTCTTTCTCTAGGTCTGTTATTATTAATTCTTAGTAGATAGCTAATTTGCTATTGTAATTTAGCTATTCTATAAGTGTTGTATTTAACTATAGTAATACCTTAGATCTACACCCCCTAAGTCTGCTAGACAATGTGTTTAATTGCAGCAGGACTAGGGTAACTAAGTTGCTTGTGCTACTATATTGCTAAGGCCTTCTATAGTCCTCTCTTAGTGCGTGTAGTGATTTTGTGTGTGTAGTTAGTAGCTAGTAGGGATAGTTTATACTTAAGCACCTACTAGCTAAGCATTTCTAATACTACTCTAATTACTTAGCTATTTGCTTATTAGAGAGTTATTAGGTCTACTTATATATCCTACTATATACCTCTGTTTTATAGTAGGCAGAAGGACACTAGGTTGTATAGCAGGTCTAGGCAAATTGCCATATCTGTAAGGGTGACCTTAGTTGTCCTAGCTCTACTCCTTAGGAGTAGATTAATTAATCTATATCCTCTAACTAGCACCTTAGAATTCCTAGCCTATATAAAGTCTCTAGGCAATAGCTATTAGAACCTATAGATATAGTTAGGGTTGTTAGTAATATAACAGGTAGAACCTAAGTTAAGTATAAATAACTTCTATAGTAGATAGTTAGTAGTATCCTGTTAGTTTACTGTACTAAGTGCTACTTTAATATTAGTAATTTCTTAGCCCTCTAGTTAATTGTCTAGGATTTCTAGAGTAGGGGTGTATAAGTGCTTTACTACTAGTGTTCTTAATCTACTCTTACTTTGTGCGCAAAGTAGCCCTTAAAAGGTAATATCTTTCTTATACTTATTAAACTTAATAAGTTTAGAAATAATCTTATTTAGTTTCTACTACTTAGGAGCTCTGTCTTAATTAATATAGTAGCAATCCTATATAGAGTGGCGTTATCTACATACAGGGCATTTTGCTCCCCTAGTAGAAGCAGGCTCTTAATCTAAAGGCTGCTTAAGCATAGTAGTTTTCCTACCTACTATACATTAATATTAAGGTCTGCCCTAGTTAGATAGTATGCTTACAGCATATTAGGCGTCCCCTTTGTAGCTCTAGGAGGCTGCACCCCCTTTAGTAAGAAACACTGTATTATTAGCTACAAAGGCCTTATGCTGCCCTAATCTAAGGGGATAATTTATTATTATATACTCTTAGTAGTGTTTTATTATCTCCTTCTAACTTATACTAGATTTAAAGCATCTACTATCTTGAAAGCTTGTAGCCTAGATAGGCGTGACCCTGTTTATAGCTGTTAGTAGGCTGGCGGATGGGTAGGGTATGCTTTTTTACGTTTTGGCTTATAGCTTCTTAACTAGCAGAGATACGCTTACATAATCTATTATT